CTTAATAAGTACGATGGATTGTTTCAACTTTCCACTACCTTAAGCCCCCCTTTTGCCCCACCTAGGCCCTCATAACTTTGATCTCGCGAACTGACTACGACCAGGTGTTTGGTTCCCTTCTGCGCCTCTTCGACCGTGGTCTTGGACGTGTTCCACCACCACCGGGGCCTGGAACGCAATCCATCATGGATGCGAAAACACTGGTTTACGTATACTACAGTTTCGACCTCAGTTGGCGCCTCCTAGAGGTCTTGCCGCCATCACCGGACTTTGTTGGTCTCCTGCGTGACCGCTTTCAACAAGCTACGGGCGTTGAAACAGGAACAGCAGCCAACAGTGTGGACTGTCCTGTCTCACCTAATCGGTTCATCTACCTGGTGATTTTGTTGGACCGACTGCGTCGTTTCGCCACTGCGCCCTATTTTGACCTGCAGAAACGCACAGCCAGTCTGGTGCAGCTGAAGCCTGCCCCTGGCATCTGGTCTTTCTCCACATCTAAGGAGATGATGGACTTCAAGCCGGCCAACACATCTTCTACGCTATCCAAATTTAAGCCAAATGTGCGCTGCATGGAGATGATTGCGGTAAGACTTTGCTTTTTGAACAGTGTCCGAGCCTCTGCGTTATTCTCGCATACCCTCCCTGATAGGCATGCCTTCCGAGCATTCGCCGAAATTCATGGAAGCTTTGGGAGAACCTTGGAGGCTAGGATTCCTGTGGTTATCTGTCAGCGAAACACCATCGCACCGCGGGATGCGATTATGTCCAAACATCTTGAATCATGTTGTTCGGGAATGAGCCAGAAATTGCAATTCCACTTTCCCTTTGTCTTTCGTCGACGATACATATATACGTTTGGTAGATGGACGCTCACCGATCGGTTACAGAACTCACTCGTCCTCTCTCGACACCTGCCAGCAGCCACTTAATGGCTAGGCATATAAACATTACCGACAACGATAAGGGGTACTGGAATGGCCAATTCTGGCTTGTTAGCCACCATAAGCCACCCTAGGTGTCGCACCATCTGGACTTCGAAGCTGCGAGCTGGTGGCTAGAAGTTCAACACCCTCACACCTGCACCACAGATTCTTTGTACTGTATGTTTCATATGTGTATATGTAAAGTAGTCACTAGATGCGCTCACAATAAAATCACGTCCGGTAAAGTAGCAGACTCTAGAGGGCGGAGAGGCAGAAAGGGTTATATAGTGTTTGGCCTTTCGTAATGCAGTGCTAGTTTTGTCACCTGAATAGGCGCACCCGAGGTCAGAAGCTATGTCAAAAGGCAGTCGGGATAATTCTGATATTCTTTATGTATGTCAAAAGACAATCGGGATAACTCGTCGTGGTTCTATAGAAATACACAGTAAGGTTAACAGTACACGATAGGTTGAAAATGCGAGATAGAAATCAAAGGGAGGGTATACATATCTTCGAGGTGCTTAGACGAGCCGTCGTGTGAATAACGCAGACACGTTGTCGCCAGCCTATAAGGGAATAAGGACAGGGGACAGGAATCATAGAACGGTGGGGGGGGAAATAAGGGCCCCATACGGGGAATAAAGACCGGTGGCGGCGTGTCAACAAAGGGGAAGGCGGCCAATAAGGTCAAGGGGTCAGGACGTGGGATAATGCACGTGGGCACAGGGTACGACGAAGAACATGGACCATCAGTGGATGAATAAACGGGCTTAAGGACGCATGTTTCGGTCAAGTCGGCCAAGTCCTAACGCGCAGTTAGTAGCAAATAAAATCCGAAAATGAACTTGACATGATGAATGTCACAGATTGCCATAAGAAGAAAACTCGCTAGCGAGGTTCAGGGGCGGCCAGAGAGCGCGTTAACGGTGTTTTGTCCGTCTGTATGAGATATCGATTGGTTGAATCGGTCTCGTATGTTGTCATTCCCATAATATCAGGCGTCATATGTGTTTTGTTAAAGGACTCCACCGCATGACTGTCAGTCGACCTTTGATACAGCCGTTCTGTTATCAGTTGTAGCTCCTTCCCAGATCATTTATCATACACAGGTCCTAACGTGCACGCCTTTTTGATAAAAAAACAGTTTGAATCGAAATTCAATTTCAGCCCCCCATGTTTGACCTTTATAGATGGTGCCTGCTTGCCAGTTCATCCGCACAGGAGCCACTGTTCATTTTATGGCACTTGCCTCCCCTCCCCCCCTTCATCTTATCATCTCAATTGTCAGTAGAGCCTTATTGTAGGCTACATCAGCTCACTGAAATGCCTCTTTCATCTGTTTTTTATTTTCTTTTTCAGAACCAGGTTTTTAAGGCCCAATGCTCGCGCACCGCCACCTCCAACAAACCTGCGCTGTTTTCCAGTACTGACGAGACAGAGGCCTTCTTCGGTAGTCTACGAAATCATTCTGTCCAATCAGTACTGCTTTTAGAAGAGGGCTACACTCTGTTGGAAGATTTCAAAGTTCGCGTTTCATCAATTTGATGCCTGTTGCCAATGTTTTTATTTTACGCCGACGTACCTCTCACACCTTATTTAGAATGTGCATACAGCATTAGCCCCAATTGCTAGTGGACTGAATTTCCTCTGCACTCATCACACGGTTTTCTAGCAGCCTGGGAAAACAGTTTTCTCAAGTAACTGTCTTAATGTACTGGTGAGCACATTGTCTATACAAAGTATCGTAGTCAGCTTCTGTTTCAATACCGGCTAACCCTTGGCCATATCTGCACCTGAGGACCATCAGCTTTCCTGGTTTCGAAATCAAAACGTTACCTTAAATTCTAGAGTTGTGTTTTACTGTCGCGCGAGCGCGCGACAAAAAAGAGAAAATCGGGCTTTCAACAGAAACAAGGGAAAATCGTGAAAAGTCAGTCTACGGGAAATGAAAGTGTGGCCTTCTTTTTAATAAAGAGAATACACTTGCGTTAAAAAACGACGATTTGACTTCAGGTTCACAGATTGGTTTATCCGTTGCATTTGGTGCACATTGATATTCACATGCACCCCAACCGCTAATGTAGATTATAAACCAATCTTCAAACTATGCATTAAACGTTAATAGATAAAAATAAGGCAAAAAGAAATATCAAAGAAATATGTGGATAAAAATATCAGGCTTCTCGAAGAAGTAGCCAATAAACGAACAGCACGGTGCCCTCAAGTGTCGTGTTGAGTAATTAATAGTTCATCCCGACTGCCGTGAATGCTTGGGGGGTCCCGCCTCCGTAACAATTGTAAAGAATCATTCACAGTAGACTAAAGGGTTATTTTTATCTTCCATCGCTACATGCAAAAAAATTTTTTCGGCACTTCTATCTTTCGCGTATTTCAGGTTTGTAGGGTTATGTGATATTATGGTGATACGTATAAGCTATCTTTACCAAGAAGTCGTAGAAGTAACACTGTAACTTCTAGAACTTCACCTAGCTTGGCGGAGCACTACACACCTGAGCCTGTCCTAGGTCCAGTCAGCAGTAGTCAGCGTAGTTTTCGATATTGTGGCAATTTATGCATGACCTGTTCAACAGACCCAAATCGGGTAATATTGCCGGCAAAGACAAGTGAGACTGGAATGGCCACATCTGACTTATTAGCCGTCATCAAGCAGTCATACCCAATCCCAAGTGGTGCCCCGTAGGAGGGTCGAACCTTCGACCATTTGATCAAATGGTGAGGTGACACTTGGGGTTGGGTATGATGGGCTCATGACGGCTAATAAGCCAGAAATAGGACTTCCAGTCTCCCTTGTATTTGCCGGCAATACTACCAGTCTAGACTGCTAGCCGCTGT